AGGAAAATTAATTCCTTTTAATAATATATGGAAATATCCACTCTTTGCCTGATGAAGGCCGCCAGACCGGAAACACGTGTAGCAAAAATGTCAAGTAAGATATAAATCTTTAAAAAGATCCACATTATAACCAAAAACGTTTGCGGTTTCTCCTTTTTAAAATATACACTTTCTTTCGTTGGAACACCTAGAACCTCTTTATATATATATATATATATATATATATATATATATATATATATATATATATATATATATATATTATATATATATATATATATATATATATATATATATATATATATATATATATATATATATATATATATATATATATATATATATATATATATATATATATATATATATATATATATATATATATATATATATATATATATATATATATATATATATATATATATATATATATATATATATATATATATATATATATATATTATATATATATATATATATATATATATATATATATATTATATATATATATATATATATATATATATATATATATATATATATATATATATATATATATATATATATATATATATATTATATATATATATATATATTATATATTATATATATATATATATATATATATATATGAATGATTCATGAATTTATAAATTATAATTTACCTTTAATTGAAATTAAAAATAAATTATCCAACGTGCAACTTTCGGATAATAAGTGTGACATTCATATAATTATTGAACAATATAGTTCATGCCACATTGACGGAAAATCTACCAGTAAAGAAGCATTCTCTTTTGTACAAAAACGCACAACCTTAAAATTTAAATTCAAACTCAGCGTTGCGACCGCACGTTCCAAAACAATAACACATTTCTCATAGCATTTTTGGGGATTACATCTCTATTTTCGTTGTCCTCTTATTACCGAGAAGTAAAAACAAGAACAAAATCTATTTCCATACCTGAGGATGTCTGTAGGAACAGACGAAAGCTTGTAAAAAATTAAAAAGACCTTATGCAACTGGAATTTATAAACAGGGATCATATTCATATAGAGGTTTGGGGTTGATGTATCTCATTTATATTGTTTGCGAAGATGTATTCTCGCCATTTAAATCATTAACCTCTATATTTGTTTTTTGTATGAATGATTCATGAATTATATATATATATATATATATATATATATATATATATATATATATATATATAGTGTGTGTATATCTGCATCTTAGAGAGCCGAGTTCCAATTCCAGTCGGGTTCGTTATCTTCACCTACGCACAAATATCCCTTTGAAAGGTATGGATCAACCGCTCCTCTCACCTGGTCAGCTAGGGGTTAGTTAGCAGGACTTGTATTAGTAAATACTTATCTCAAAAAATTCTTCTTATAGTATAAAAATGTTTTCTGGCTTTAAATTACTTGTAAAAGGTTGATAAGCCGTAAAATACAGAATCAGTCAATCTTCTATCATTACTGGCAAGGCAAGATTAAAATGAAGGCTGAATTTTCTCCTCTTTAGGGTGTACAACAGATTTGTAAGAAGATATAAAGCACCCCCCCCTTTCAAATGGAATATGGACAAAACACAGCATCTTTTCAGCGGCTTTTACGCGCTGTTTTCATTTTACTTTGGCAATCACACAAAATAAAAATGGGTTAATATTAAGAAGCGAATACTTGAAAATACCGCTTGAAACCCTTTTCTTAATCAAGCCCATAGATGTGGCTTCCTTCACCTTACGAATCTTCTATTGTATTTCGATGCCGATTATTCTGGCTTTAATTCTGATGTGGTTGTGTTCTCTTTGAAGAGTCTCACAAAAAACAGGAATCAAAGAGAAAAAGAGAGCGAGAGAAAACGTATCAAGAGAAAAGAGGAAAAACGAAGGCGACAAAGAAGATGAAAACGTAAATAGAGAATGAGAAAGAAAGAAAATATAAAATATAAATGATACAAAAAGGGAGCAAAGTAGCAAAAAAAAAAAAAAAAAAAAGAAAGGGAGAATAATGAATGAAGAAAAAGAATGAAATGAGACAAGGAAAATCGAAGAGGGAAATAGAAAGAGAGAAATGAAAGAAAAACAAAACAAAAAACAACTCAAGAGTAAAAGACAGACAAAAGGTAAAGAGCATAAAAAGACCGAGAAAAAAAAAAAAAAAAAAAAAACCAAAGAAAGAAAAAAGGAGAAATGAAAACAAAAGAAATTGGAAGGAAGGAAAGAAAACTAGGAGAGAAGAAGAATGAATAAAAGGAAGAAGAGGAAAAGAGTAAGATAGTTGAAGGGGAGAAGAAACGACGCGGAGAGGAGAGGAGAGAGAGAGAAGGTAGAAAAAGAGAGAGAATGAAAGAAAAAAAAAAAGGAAGAAAACAAAAGAGAATGCAAAACGAATAGTAAAAGAGAGGAGGAAGGGGAGAAAGAGAAAAAGAGAGAGAAAGAGAAGGAAGAAAAGAAAAGAGGAGAGAGAAAGAAAGAAGAAAGAATGAGAAAGAGAGAGGAAAAGAAAAAAGAAAGTAAGAAAGAGAGAAACAGAAAGAGGAAGAGAGAGAGGGAGAAAGAAAGGGAGAATGAGAAAAGAGAAAAAGAGAGAGAGAAAAAAGAGAGGAGGAAGAGGGAAAGAGAAAGAGAGGGGGAAGAAAGAGAAAGAGAGAGAGGGGAGAAGAGAGAGGAAGAAGAGAGAAAAAGAGAGAGAAAGAGAGGGGGAAGAAAGAGAGAGAGAGAAGAAGAGAGAGGAAGAGAGAGAGAAGAGAGAGGAGAAAGAGAGAGAGAGGAAGAGAGAGAGGAAGAGAGAGGGAAGAGAGAGAGAGAGAGAGAGAGGGAAGAGAGGAGAGAGAGAGGGAAGAGAGAGAGAGGGGAAGAGAGAGAGGGGAAAGAGAGAAGGGGAAAGAGAGAGAGGAGAAAAGAGAGAGAGAGAAAGAGAGAGAAGAAGAGAGAGGAAGAGAGAGAGAGGGGAAAGAGAGAGAGAGGAAGAGAGAGAGAGAGGGAAGAGAGAGAGGGAAGAGAGAGGAAGAGAGAGAGAGGAAGAGAGAGGAAGAGAGAGAGAAGAAGAGAGGAAGAGAGAGAAAGAGAGAGAGAGGAAGAGAGAGGAAGAGAGAGAGGGAAGAGAGAGGAAGAGAGAGAGAGGAAGAGAGAGGAAGAGAGAGAGAGAGAGGAAGAAGAGAGAGAGAGGAAGAGAGAGGAAGAGAGAAGAGAGAGAGAGAGAGGAAGAAAGAGAGAGAGAGAGGAAGGAAGAAAGAAAGAGAGAGAGAGGAAGGAAGAAAGAAAGAGAGAGAAATTAGCATAGGGAAAGAGAGAGAAATTAGCATAGGGAAAGAGAGAGAAATTAGCATAGGGAAAGAGAGAGAAATTAGTATAGGGAAAGAGAGAGAAATTAGCATAGGGAAAGAGAGAGAAATTAGTATAGGGAAAAGAGAGAGAAAGAGAGAGAAATTAGCATAGGGAAAGAGAGAAAATTATATAGGGAAAGAGAGAGAAATTAGCATAGGGAAAAGAGAGAGAAATTAGCATAGGGAAAGAGAGAGAAATTAGCATAGGGAAAGAGAGAGAAATTAGCATAGGGAAAGAGAGAGAAATTAGCATAGGGAAAGAGAGAGAAATTAGCATAGGGAAAGAGAGAGAAATTAGCATAGGGAAAGAGAGAGAAATTAGCATAGGGAAAGAGAGAGAAATTAGCATAGGGAAAGAGAGAGAAGAAAGAGAAAACAGTCAAAGATAGAATGAAAATTTTTATTTATTTTCTTATTTTAGAAGTTAACCTTGACACCTTATTAAAATAGAAAATCTTAGCCGCTCACCTAATAAGAAATCTAACTTTTCGAGAGGGAAAAAACGTCACTTATTTTCCCGCCTATTATCCTGACATTTTCCCCTCATCAAACAAATACAATTATTTCATGACAACTCCATTCGGCTTCGTGTTTGAAGCGTGTAAACAATCCTGTTAAGAGTTCAAACCCCACCAGTGGCAGCAAATCTATTTCCCATTTGTTGACATTTGATGTGAGCTGATCAAAGACAATATTAGCTTGTCGCAAAATAATTATATTTATTCATAAGCAAATTGCTCGATATATCCTCGAGGCTGAGAAATCGACAATTTTGATTAATAAATGGCTTTAGAATAATTAAGAAACCTTGACTCCACAGGAGATTCTTCCCTCAAAATTACTTGGGTGGGGGAGGCTGAGAAATTGGTTTGATTTTGATCAGTGGGAGACTGTTTTATGTATTAGGCACCAACTTATTGTTTTGAAGAGGAAAAAACCCAACAAATTCAGAACAATTAACCATATTGTAAGCGTAAAAAAAAAAAAAAAATAAAAATAAAACAGTCATCTTGTCATAGAAGAACAATAACAATAAAAAGCATATATTGGCGACAATCTGTTAGACTAATAACTATTCTTTTTATTGCTTAAAAGGTTTCAATATTGAAATACAGCATAATGACGACCATGCCACAAAATACCGGAAGCATCTGAATTGAATATAAGAGTTAAAAATTAATAAACACTGACGTCATTTTTATACCAGACATGACGTTATGGCTTAAATAACAAATAAAACAGCAGGTTAAAATGGATCGTTCTGTTGCTGTTAAATGGCATTAGTAGTGTTTATTTCTTTATTGACTTTATTAAAAAAAAGAAAGAAAAAAAAAAGAAAGAAAAAAAAAAGATCGCTTTTAATGATCTTGGTGCAGCTGTCATACCAGCTTTAAAAAATTGTTAAAGAATCTATCGCTGAAGTGATGAAAATATGTAGCGTTTTCGGCATATCTAAGGTTTTTATATATATATATATATATATATATATATATATATATATATATATTATATATATGACAAAAGGGTAAAAAAGGCAAAAAAAAAAACAAAAGTAGCCTTCATGATCGGACATATCGAAATGCTTTATGAGATTTACGTGTTGGTGAAGATTTTATCGTTGATTTTGTGCGTCACGATCGGACAGAGCCGTTGTAATCAAATGAAAACATTACTGGAGAAGAATGGCGTAAGGGGGAGAGAAGGGAGCAAAGCGAGCAAAAGGGGAGAGAAGGGAGCAAAGCGAGCAAAAGGGGAGAGAAGCGAGCAAAAGGGGAGAGAAGCGAGCAAAAGGGGAGAGAAGGGAGCAAAAGGGGAGAGAATGGAGCAAAAGGGGAGAGAAGGGAGCAAAAGGGGAGAGAAGGGAGCAAAGCGAGCAAAAGGGGGAGAGATGGGAGCAAAGCCAGCAAAAGGGGAGAGAAGAGAAAATGCGCTTGTCGTATCGTACCGGTTATCGGTGCAGAAAATGATATCGGCAGATTTGATTTTTTTCACTTTTCGCGGATATACCCTTGGTAATGAATCCATCTTACCTTCACCCAGCTATGGGTTAAATAAGTGGAGAATGGATTCTAGTCTTGTAGGGGTAAACAACCTTGTAGAATGAAAATATTGAATTCAAAACCGGTTGGATGTGCGGTTAGAAACTCCACTCTTTAAAATCCAACATTGTTAACGGAAATCACAACAACAATAGTGTGGCGAGGCTGTGCTTCTATAAACAAGGGAAAATCGCAGGAAGTCTGGTTATATAATCAAATCACTTCTATTCGATGTCTATATGTCCATCAGAGAAGTTAGGTGCATCAGCGGTTTGACCTGAGATATCCCCTCCTTGCCGTCAGGTACAGATCCACGTCTTTATTAGATGTCAGTGGTGACATTTAAAGACGTTGTTCCCAGCTGCGGATGAAGTGTGCACACGTGGGACAAACAGGATGATAGGTAGATATATATGTACCCACTTAAGAGGGAAGAGGAAACTCCCTTACATCTTCGAGGGAATGTAGAATCAACGTACCCCCACCCACAGTAAATTGATTCGGTCCGGAGTTGAAGAAACAGTAATGTTACCCATTAGACATTTACTCTAGTGTTCTTATTAATCTGCATTGATCATGATTCTCCACAACTTCCTGCGCTTTATAACTCTTAGCAATGTTTTTACTATCTTTCCCTTTCTCCTATCTGACTTCCACAAGCTGGTTTTAATTTATTAATTCAGATATCCAGCAACCCTCAAGATGGCTAAATCTATGTTCACAGAGATTGTGAAGCCATTAATTGAGGTGGAGAGGGCACCTCGGCGTGGTGTAATGGTTAGCAAGTTTGCCTTGCTAGATCAGTTACTACTGAAAAGTGAGTTCGATCCTCACTGGATGCCCTATACTTTCGGCCTTGTGCCACATCTAAGCTACGCTTGGAAAATTTCTACTTGAGGTGAAGAGCTTACCAGATTGACTGCGCGAAGAAAAAAATCACTTATTCGATGGGAATTAAAATGTGAATCTTTTAATCCGTTTATGAATTGGACAAAGTGCGAAATGAAAGATTCTTCAGAGTACAAACAAACTGTATTATTGGGCTCCTGTAATGGAATCACCATATATCTTTTCAATAACCAAGTTTTTTTAACACAACGATTCCCAACGTGTGGCATATGCTTTTAGTCTGGCATAAGAGCATGACAGCGGAGCACTTAATTAACTAGCATTGGCTTGCAAGACTTTCTCAACATAGCTTGGTACCTAGAGTAATACATAAAATATGAAACAGGAAAGAGAAAAATTTCAATTTTTGATTTTGTTACCTACATGTTGATAGTTACAGAAGTTAATCAAGTCAGGCATAAGGCTAAAATAGGGGAGCACTAAACTGAATCCCGTGGTAATGATTTTCAAGAATAGGTTGCTAATCATTGTCCAATAACAAGCAACCCAGTAGGAAAATATATGTATTTAGCTTAACCTGTCTGGCACAAGGACATTATCACTTGCGAGTATTGAACTTAATAGAAACGACTTTTGCTAATGAATATTTTATATCCTGTTATCTCTTGAAACACACTGATTGGAAGTTAAAACTATTTTGGATGACAATTGTCTTTCATTCGTTATGGCTTCAGCCATTTCACTCATACAGAAGAGGAATTTAAAAAAGGGAAAAGGAAAGAGAAAAAAAAAGAAAAGGAAAGAGAAAAAAAAAGAAAAGGAAAGAAAAAAGAAAAGGAAAGAAAAAAGAAAAGGAAAGAAAAAAGAAAAAGAAAGAAAAAAGAAAAAGAAAGAAAAAAGAAAAAGAAAATTCTCTTTTCACTTTTTCAAATGAGAGAGAAAAGAGATAGAGAGAGAGAGAGAAAAAAAAAAAGATTGTCGTCCAGGCAACATATATTCCAGGTCTCCACGACTTTCGATAAAATAAATAAACGTATTAATGAATAGAGGAGACGTGTCTCCTTGGTCTGGCCAATACGGAAAGTTTTATTAAAATACTGTGATTGGCTGAATATTTTTAAAAGTATTAATTAAACGCTTGTTGCTTGGCAACCAAACAACGATATTTCTCATTTGTAAAACAGAGAGAACGAAAGCAGAAGATAAAAATATGCACTGGGTTTTTAGGAAGTAGATGTCAGTGAGATCTAACCTACTGCAATGTCAACACAACAAGGTTATATATAATTATATATATATATCATTTTTTTTTCAATCATTTTGCCCCAAGCCAAGCGATAAAACCACTAAGACTCACGGGGTTACTGAGAATGAAATCAACTGAGAAAACCTAATAAAGGAGATATTAGACAATAAAAGAACACGATTCGGAAAGAGAGGTGATGACTAAGGTTGGACTTAAATTTTGGAGTGTAAAAAAAAGAAAACAAAAATAGAACTCCATAAGTGAAAATTCCGAGAGAAGAAACTATTAGAATAGAACTTACGGCTAAATCTAGCAATTTCCACATTGAAATTATGAGACCTAACTGCCAATCTAGTACCGCGCTTAATTCATTAAGTCAAGGCACCAAAAAGGAAATTTCACCAGAACAATGACAATATATATATATATATATATATATATAAGAGGCTCAGGGAAGCTACTTTATGTGAAAAAAAGTAGCCTGAAGCTGAGATACCAGGTCAATACCGATAATATTGTAGATACTTTTGGGGATTTCGTCAACAATCTCGAGATATAAAATAGAAGCTGAAGACAAGAGGCGGTTTCCTTTCAGAACGTGATTAATTATGGCGTTGCACTACATCCTCTTTTGCTTCTCTAGATAAATTTTGACCTTTTACAATCTTTCTTTACGCCTGTTTTGCCGTTCATTCACAATTAAGTGCTCATTGACAGATTGTAATAAGAGTTAACATTAATAAGATTGAGTGAGTATATGTTTCGCTGAATCTGACAGACAAGTAAAATTTTCTTTTTTTTTTTTCAATAGTTTTTCTAGTATTCTTAAACTTCCCGTTTGGTGAGTATAAAAATTGTCCCTAGTGTCTAAGGTCTCAGGCATTTTCGAACACTTCTTTGGTCATTTTGAAGAGGTTTTGTTTTTAATTGTTATTAATTTATTTAATCTCGTAATTGTGTGAGATATATATAAGGTAAAAGACAATAGGAAAATATAGACAATAGTATTAGCGTTTCGTCCAATATGGATTTTTTCAAGGCAAAAACAAAATGAATTTATTGAAAACAAAGTAACTACAACAACAAACAAAATGTCCTTAGCAACAAGAAGAATTTAGTAAACGCTATTATATTCATATTGTCAACTGAAAATGATTGAATTTGGCAACACAACAATAAAAAACAATATTTCTACACGTGAAAATACTTGACGTAATTTTCAGTCGACAATATGAATACAACAGCGTTTTCTAAATTCATCTAGTTGCTAAGGACTATTGTTAATAGTTACATTGTTTTCAATAAATTCATTTCGTTTTTGCATTGGACGAAACGCGCCGTCTAATAATACAGTTTTCCTATTGTCTTACCTTTATACAGTCTTTTTCTACAGGTTAACTCTGATAAATTTATATATATATATATATATATAATTTATTTATTTTAAGACATTTTTATGCTTATACATTCTTTTTATAGATTCAAATATTTAAGTAAATGCTCTGTTTATAATAAACAGTATTAAACAACATTTACCGGCCTGAATGTCCGAGAAATTTTCACAGAAAATAGTCGTCCTCCGACAGGATTCGAACCTGTATCCGATACGGAACCGTCATTTAGCTTGACGCGCCTTATTATAAACAGAGCATTTACTTAAATATTTGTATCTATAAAAACAATGTATAAACATAAAAATGTCTTAAAATAATTGTCGGACTGTCCATTTCATAATTTGTGACGTCATTTGTTTACATTTGGATGCGCTTTGAGCAGATATGAATGTACGTGAGAGATTCATGGAAGATTGAAGTTTAAAGGCAGTAAATTCGACCTTGCTAACCGAACGCTCCTCTGTGGCCAAATCGGTTAAGGCTTTTTATTCGTCAAATTTCATTAAAGGGCCTATTAAATCTCTCTCTATCATATTCATAGCGGGTGTAACAGCAACATTGTCCAGTTGTTAGATTAAGCTCTGTACCGCTGTATCTAAGAAATGATTAAAGATATCTTACTGGAATTCTTCGAGGTTTTATAACACTATTGGACTCTACTTTGAGCAATAAGAATGTATAATTACTCTCCAAGCTTAACAGAAGAATTGTGATGAAATTGATCATAAAAAAAATGACATGTTCATCATTAATTAATCCTAGCTAAGGATCAGAAGCTCGTGAAGGATTAAAACTAAGTTTAAATCTATAATTCCGGGATAATTTTTCCAACTTATTCAAGACGATATTCGCCTTCTAACATTTTGTTCTGGAGCAACAAGGTGCTTCACACATTTCACGTACGATTTCATTTTCAAGTCTTACCACTTCTCTTTGGACTGTCATAGCTGAAACTACACTGTCACGTGCCAAACGTCTTATGGATTGAGTTGGATCTTTTCTAATTAATTAAACTCTTTAGCTCTAAGATGACAATGATTCCTCTTCCTGTTGTGACCTCCTGAACAGTTTTCCTCTCTACTGTCCACTCTTATTTACCGTTCTCTTGATAGTTCTTGAATGGACTTTGAAGATGGAAGCCAGAGTATGAATGTTGGTACCATTACTGAAGGCCTGAATGATCCTTTTCCTCCCACCATTGCCCAGTTGGGATTTTAACCTGTTCCCTTTCTAAATAGCTCAAAGGGTTTTTCAGTGATTCTTACTAAACGCCTTATCTGAATACCTAGAAAAAGGAAAGTCAATTAGTTTAGTTGTCTTTTAGATATTAAACATTTTGTGGGATAGACAATTATGCTGTTACACAATTTAGACAATTTTGCTGTCACACCCGGTTGTATCAGGGTGTCCCAAAATAATGTATACACTCTTTGAATCGTTATAACTTATTCAATTTATGTATTTTGACTTGTAAATAAGATTAATACAAGAGAAAGAATACCTATTTAAAGAATTTGAGAGTAAAATATACAAAAAACAGAAAATTAACTTTAATAAGATAAAAGCTACTTGGGGCAGAATGTTCATATTAATGATGAGTTCACATCAAGTTCTCAAACTGGTTGCTGTTCTGTTCAATACACTTTTCATATCTTGAAGAAATAGACCTACAAACGTCCAGTATCATTTCCTCTGATATTTGAGCACATTCTTCTTCAATAGCTACTCTCATTTCAGCAATTGTTTCAGGTTTCCTGCTGTAAACATTGTCTTTTAGAAACCCACACAAAAAGAAATCCAAGGGTGTCAAATCTGGTGATCTAGGTGGGGATTCAACTGTCCCTCTTCTTCCAATCCATCTGTTTTGTATATTTTCATCCATATGAATTCTCACATCACGGTAATGTATTATTAACTATTATTATTTAAAGAGTGTATATATATATATATATATATATATATATATATATATATATATATATATATATATATATATATATATAATTAAAAAAAGTTTTATTCACATTATTCGAACTATTGCCCATAGCTTGTTTTTTTATTTATGCATGACTGATTATTGTTGTAATGCCTGGCCTCTTCAGGTGGTTGGAATGTCGAACTGAACCTTTATTTCCAACCGCCTGAACAAAGCCGGAGCGTACAACGGCCGAAACGTTGTGATAAATATGGCAACAAAGATGAGGATAATAGTCCGAATAATGTAAATAATGTACATAATACCTCATCTCAGAAATATAAACAGACTCTGAAGTTTTGTTCACTCCTGTGTTGTGCCAGTTATTCTCGACCAGTCTGCTGGTGTCGGCCTGGGTTTTATCCGACGACCTTGCATTCTGCCTGACAAATGTGAGAAACGGCCCCCCCCCACTTACCTCGGACGGTTGTTTACACCTGTCCAGCAGTACCTTTATTCACACGCTTTAAATACCGATTGCAGGTGTGAGGTCTGCATTTGGTGACAGGTAGCAGCATTAGATACGTCTTGATTGTCTGGTGTGAAATTTTAGTGCAATGTCTACTCCAGTGTAATAATGCATATATTGCACCCCATTCAATAACTTTAAGATTGAGTGGCTTTCAAGCCTTATGTTGGGTAAACTTAAGTTAAAAAAAAAAGAAGTTAAAATTCAAGCCTCATCGAAACGATTCAGTGTATGTCAAGGTTAAGATTATGTTGTCATGGATATTGTCAACATTTTTTTTCATATAAATCTTCGATATGAGATCAGGTAAAAAAATGATTTCCATTGAAGAAATCATTAACTATAAGCCAACGTAAAGAATATGTTTTATATTCTGACGCTGACAACGGAACAACATGAAACGTTAAAAAGGAAAGACTTTTTTTTTTTCTAACAGACACAAAAAATTCAACAAACGGATTTCGATTGAGTTTTGTTCGTCATTCCATTGTTTGACAAAAAAGAGAAAAAAAAATTCTTTAAAGTCCATCATGATGAGAAATTTTACTGGCTACTTGGGTTTTGTTTGAAGTGGAGGGGATGGAAGTCCCCGGGATGTTTATGATTTCAAGAAGGTTGAGAAAAAACAGAGGGAATGACAATTTGAGAGAGAAGGAGAGATGGACAAGGGAGAGTAAGGATGAGATTTTTAGACATCCGTCGGAAATAAAGAAAAAAGTCGATAACAGAACAAGAGGAACTGTTATTTCAATTTGAACATCAAAAAGAATTTCTATTTCCCTCAACATTTAGCGGATATATATATATATATATATATATTTGAAAATTTTGTTTGTGTTATATATATATATATATATATATATAACACAAAACAAGGTTTTCATATGGGAAGTGGTGGGGGTGATGGATCGTAGAAAGAAATTGCAAAACAGTGTTATTGAAAACGTTTGTTATATATATATATATATATATATATATATATATATATATATATATATATATATATATATATATAATATACTTTGATAGAGAAGCTTCTGTCATTTTTAAATACACACATCTCACATATCTTCATTGAATACACACAAATGAGTGTGCGTTTTACCTGATGTAAGTAAATCGAATGTATTTAGGCAAATGCACACACATTTTCTAAGATGTTGACTCATTATAAGAATTCAAAATACTCATATACGCACACATAAATTCATGTATGCATACAGATAAATCTCTCTCCTATATATAAATATCACACACACACAGTATATATATATATATATCACTCATGAGTATATATATTATACTATCACGGTGGAGTAATGGATAGCAGTTTGGATTGAGGAATCAGAGAGCCGAGTTCGAATTTCAATCGAATTCATTACAATCACTTACGTGCTGATACCCTTGGGAAAGGCATGAATCCTCTTCTCCTTCCAGCTATGGGCAAATAGCAAGACAGGTTGGGTTCTATAGCCTTGGATGGCAATTGGTCTAGGAGAAGGACAACTCTGAATTCAAAACTTGCGGAGGGCCGTTTGGGGACCTTGTGGCACTTAGTGCACCAGGTCTCTGTATTCGGCCCTTCAAAAAGTGTCGAATAGTTCGGCACAAAACCTTCACTTCTATAATCAAATCTCATGTGCTGGTGTCTGGCTGTCGGTTCCTAGGAACTGAGCTGCTTGACTCATATCGAATTCGACGAGAGAGTCGAATATATATATATATATATAAAAGCAAATATATGGATATAGATCCGACAGTATGCAGAAAAAACTGCAAAACAAACAAAAATCAAAATTATGACACAATGTTAATATAATGTCAACGTCGGACGTTTCGGTCTAATAGACCATCTTCAGGACATATGAATATGTCCTGAAGATGGTCCGACGTTGACATTATATTAACATTAAAACAGCATAATTGCATATTAGGATTTTTGTTTGTTTTTGCCGTATATTTTTCTTCATATATAAGAAAAACATGTTGAAATAGCTACGATTTCAACATGTTCTTGTTATAATATCTTATACTAAAATAATATGTTGCTCTACTTTGTATTGAGCACGTTTTTTTTTTTTAAAGGTAAATGCTACGAACAGCGGAATTTTACTTTATCTATTCTTTTTCTCATTTGGAGATATATATGTCAAAAATAAGAAAAGAAAAGTAAAAATAATCAATCCAAATCAATAAATAAATAATATAATAAACAAATTAACAAAACTACTTCCGTCAAAATAACAAGAATAGACTACAACAATGTATCCCCCCCCAAAAAAAAATTGAACGAAAAAAAAAAATAAAAAACAAAAAAACTTCAATTACCTCCCCAGACCAAAAACTATCAAATAAATGATCAAAACTAACCTCAAACAAATTTTTACTATGTTACTAAAACATCGAAAACTGAAAAGTATAAATAGATATATAAAATAAAAAACAAAAGACAAGCAAAATAAGTTAATCGAAATAAATAAACAAACCACTTCCGCCAAAATAACCCTTAAAAATCACTACCCACAATGCACCACTGACCATATATATATATATATATATTAGTCGAGAAAAACAACACGTGTTCTGATGATTGCGTCTAGCATGAAACAGTCTGTCGCCTCTGAGTGTTGACTTCAATGTTCAATTTTATATTTACGTACACTATCCCTGGTATTGAGCACTTTATTCCATAAATATAACACACCTTTAAACTATATAATTTTTAAATAATATGGACAAATTTTATTCATAGTATTTTTTTCATTAAATCTGTCAAATTTCCAAAAAGTTGTTTTGCATTACCTGTAAATTTGCCAAAGTTCATATTTATTTTATATTGTTCTATCCTCACCCACCCAGAGTGCTTTTGAATGTTGCTACATTCATTTTCAAATATTGTTCTGTGAATATGCAACTGTTTTTTTTTAATTCCAGCATTCTCATGTCTGATGGAACCAATTTCAAGTCACTCAAGATGACATCATATAAACGATCAAACTGAAATTATTGTGTGTGGGTCTGTGTGTTTTCTATTAAACACACTTCAACATAAACAAATTTATAAACAGGACTTGTTCTTATGATTTAACAAAACATGTTTGAGAGAATTATTCCTGCCGAAAAACATATTTGATTCTTTTTTTCATTTTTATCATTTGTTCAAAATATAAGCGTCAACACAGTTAAAAATTTTGTGAAAAGCTAAGCGAGATCGGTTAAAGTAAAAAAAAAAAGATTTTTCTAAGAAAAAAAAAACCCCAAAAAACCCATTGAAAATCCACTTGTAACAAAGTTTTAATTTTAATTTTTGTGTGAAAAATACGTATTAATATAAATATTAGATTTTTTTCCAATTCTTATTTTAGTCTATACAACAGGTTTTTGTACAGAATCTTTCTAATAATTTGATTTTTATACACATATATTTATATATAATTCAATTTAAATAGGAAACAGACAACCTTAAGGGTCCATTGGTTATAATTTATATCCCCATGTATGTTGTTTTTACCTGGTTCATCTGACCACACTTCCAAGGGTGAAAAAATGTTTTAAATTTACATATAAATCTTATACACTTTTGAGGGGTAGTTTTAAGTTGATGTAAGGTAATATAGAGAGAGAGGGGAGGAGGAGTATGACAGATATAGTCGAAATTAGAGAGAGAGAGAGAGAGAGAGAGAGAGAGAGAAAAATA